TTTTGTCTTTGTTTTGTTTTTGTTAATTAAAATTACTAGTACCGGTAAGTATGAAAAATTACAAAGGGCAATAACTCTTAAAATAATGTCTTAGAAATTTAGACAAGTTAGACAAATGTTCTTCAAAATTGTTTTTCACATCTTATCTGCCATGATGAGTCATAAACTTGTTAAATTTTGTGCCAAATTATTGTTGGAAAAGGGAAAATAATGAACAAGGAAATAGTTTCAATTCATTCTCACTCTTTAAATGAACTGTAGCAAATTCAAAGCAGGGACAATCAATTATGTTTACTGAACAAAGTTAGTGATAAAAATAATACCTGTCTTGAAGAATAATAATCCAGCCAGTTCTCTAGGTGGTACTCGTAAACTCCTGGGTTCAGGCAACGATTTCTCAATGCTTTGACTTGTCTAGGTGCAGTATCCAGGGCAGTGATTATCTCGTAGAATGTGTAGTTAAGGGCAACAGGATCTTGATGTGCTCTCATATGCTGTAAATATGGTAATAAATATATGTTTGTAACATTGGAAAAAGATGATGTAAATATTGTAAAAATGCTGTATACTGTGGTAAAAATATGCTACAAAGTGCAAAAAAAAATGTATGAGGCATGAGAAAATAATGAATAGTTTCTATGGTTGTATAAACCTTATAATGAAACAGAAATATACATGTATCATATATTGATGAAACAGAAAAACCTCCGTGTACGGTGATTCAAGCAATTTGTTTTCAAAGCAAGATGTCAATTCGACCTTCATCATACATCCTTTGTGATTACACAAAAAATGCTTGTAAGCAAACAAAATCTATTTATAATTTTATCATGCTTCACATTATCCCCCTATCAAACAGATAGGGCTGTCCAGAGCATTATTACATGACATATACGCAACATAAAAAAAGGAAAGCTTACAAGTCATACAGTATTACATATGATGTCAATAAACCAAATGATGTCAGGAAAATTACATCTATGCTCAATGTAGTTTAACATATTTTTTATCCATTTTTTGTTATATTACATGTAGAATGGAAATAGATATCAATTAATCTTGCATTGTAGTATAATATGTGCACCATTTGTTGTTCAAATGCTTTGTAATTAATTACCCTGACCTTTGTAATTAATCACCCTGACCTTTGTAATTCATCACCCAGACCTACATGTTGTATCTGTCTTTGTGAATATATTAATGTGTATTTGAATTCAAGACTGTGCACTTTCCTAAAACAACACACTCAAATTAATTCTATTTCCTCAACAAAACGCAAAATTAAATGTTTCAGGCTTTTTTTCTATCTATTTTCTATCTATTTCTATTTTTTTTACCTGTACCAAGAATATGCTCGTTTGGCTGGGCTTATCAGTATACAGATTAACCTAGCATTTGGAAGTAATGCATGTGCTCTCTTCGGAACAATGGAATTATCAAAATATCCAGCACTCTTTTCAAACAACATCTCTGTACTGGCGTTATTAGGTCTTGGAAAATAGTCCAAATACCTAAAAATATAGTTCCTTTAATTAATATGTTTTACTGATATACTAAAAAATCTAATGTACCATTACAAACTGAGAACGCTTGTTACAACACAATGTAATGTGATGTCACCTCAAATTACAGTTTCAAAACTGTTAATCAGAGTTAAGCATTGGCATAGTAATTACTAATAAATAACTGTATTACTGCATAAAGTCGGATCATAAATCAAAATTCTAGTTGATAAAAATGAAGTGAGGAGTTCAAATGCACTATATATCAAAAACAATTAGCAGGTCTTGATATTAAAAATAAAGTACAAAAAAAAACTATACAAATTATAAAATGCCCATCAGGACAACCTATTTCTGTTTGCCCTCTTTTCAAACTCATGTAAAATGTGAAAGTAGCATATGAAAACAATGCTCTTCATTGTACAAATACAGCTTGGCAAAAGTTCAAAATGTATCTTTAATCTTTAACCTGCTTTTTAATACCAGTATACAGTTAGGCCAGCCTTCACATCTAGGCAGTCCTATCATGCTCTTTGGCAATAATTTTTGTATTATGTTTATGAAAACCCTTAAAATTGAAAAAGATACACAAATTCAGCCAGTAAAGGGTCAATGAAACATGAAAGATAAGACTTACCAGTCTATACCATTGAAATAGTTATTTCCACTAAAGAATTGTAACTCTTCAAAAGAGTCTTTACTATTATAGTTACTCCTCACCAGAGGGTGCATGGACAAGAATGTATAAAGAGCTGTGGTACCTAGAAGAAAACACATATCAATTGTATACATTTCCGACAAATCCTAAAATATGTATTTACACAAAATTTTATTAAAACAGTATTGTAATGATCTCATTAAAACTTTATCAATGTCAACCAGTATTAGGTTTTTAATTAAGGATGATTTCTGTGGTGAATTTTAAGCTTGTACACTCTTTAACAAACATTTTGCAAAATCAAACCAACAGCAAACACAGGGATTTTATTCAAATTAAAATCTACCTAAAGTTATTGCCAATCTGTTCATTTCTGAAAGAGTAAGACTTATTTGTACACCATCAACCAAAAAGGGTGTTGTCTACCCATTGTTTGAAAAGAGTGCTTTTTTCTCAATGTTTTACATAAACTCTTCTCTTTAGTTTGAACATAACAATCTTTGAATTGAATTTAAGTATACTAGTTCAAATCAAAGAAACGAAAATATTTTTAAATTTTAGATAACTAACAGTATACTGGTGCCTCATATTTCCGTAGTACCCATAATTCCAAGGTATTTGGCATAAACAGTCTTAAGTGCCTCCTAAACCTCGTGTACCTGCCAGTAGTTTTACTTTTACATTTTTATTGTATTTAAATCGACATGTTACATACATGTATACAACTGAGAAAATTCATTATTTTATTCAGATTAGGAGCAAAAATAATTATTTCACCATTTTAATTTTAGTTTCATACCTTTTAATCAGTTGTCTTTGTTAAGCAACCATTGAGATATTTGATAAATGCTATAGAGAAAAAATCCACTTTCAGACGAGGCTAGGTATAAATGTACTAAAATATAAAGATTACTCTTGGTTTTGCCTTTGAATCTGTTAAATTGTAATTGCCTTGGAAATATGAGAACACGACTTTACTCCTTAGGCAACAGATAGGTGTTAATTGCCAAGTTGTGTACAAAATTGCTTACATGCAAACATTAAATGAAATAAACTATGATGTACAGTTGAGTTCACACTAAACTTCCCACCCTTGTGCACATCTAGTGCACTAGAGCTGAACTAGAAGTGCACACCGTGTGCACTTCTAGTGCACTAGACCATATGACCAGGCTGGCCAGGAAGGTGACACCTAAATGGTTTATTGGATGATTGTATATCAAGTGACAGGGGGTATCTGTTGTTAAACTGCTGTAAGAAAATAAAACTTTGGGAATATAATTATGGCCTATTCATGAATATAAATAAGTAAATTTTAACATTTTAGGTGCTTTAAATTAAAAAAAGAAATTTATTTATTGTAATCATATTTTTATTAACCAGTATTTAACTGTAGACCTAAGTGTAAAATAATACCCCTTAAAATCAAATTTGTAGAATTAATAAGGTTAAATTTAAATATGCTCGGTAATGGATAATTGCGTAAGTGTTTTTAAAGCTATTTTTAATGGCCATAACGATTTCAATTTGTCTAATGTACAAATAAGAAAATAAATGTGATAATTCTGGCCCAATTAATTTAGTTTGTAACAACATAAACTTTTTTTTTCATAAGCTCAAACAAATCAAGGAAAGGTTTATATTTAAGCTAAAATATTATTTCTATAATATATAACTTAGAGACAATTCCTCATGTTCAATATTGAAATACATTGATTTTAAAACAATCAATATACTGTGATAATTTAGTATTCAACTGTGTAATGCTTGCATATAAATGATTAAAATATTATCCATAAAATAAATAAATTTGATAACTTTATTCATGATTTCAATATTAAAAATTTAATGTATAAAGGGGATACTTTTATTGAAGAGGAAAATCTCAAGTCATGCTGTGTATTGGTATTTTCTGAGAGGGACTGTTTTCATTATACCAATCTCCTGCTGATAAGAGGGCCTCAGGGTAAACAACAAAGTACAGTCAATTTTGCAGATTATAAGTATGCATTGAAATTCCCTGGTTTTCTCAAAATGCATGTTAGACATAAGCCTGGGATTCATCAGGCGTTGGCACTCAGGCTAGTTAGTCACATAGATAAATGACCATAATTTTTATATAATCAAATATACAAAAAGAATCACAATGGCATAAATGCATATTAGATATTATTGTCTCTAAAGCGGAATTTTCTATATTTATCCACAATTCTTGCCACTCTGCATAATAATGAATAACTTAAGAGGCAATTCCTCATGTTCAAGATTGAAAGAGAATATTAATTCATTGATTTTAAAACAATCCTTATACTGTGATATTATGTTTTCCAACCATGAAATGCCTGCATACTTTTTAAAGATATAAATAATTAAAATTTTTCAAAGAAATCATGGAGCTAAATATAAGTTTATATATCTGTGCATGAAATAAATAAAATTGATAACTTTATTTAAGATTTCTATATTAAAAATTTAATGTATAAAAGGAATGCTTTTATACAAGAGGACAGTCTCAAGTCATGCTGTGTATTGTATTGGTATTTATACTAGTCCCCTGCTGATAAGAGGGCCTCAGGGTAAATAACAAAATTGCAGATGTATGCAATATTTACATGTATTTAAAATTTCCTGTTTTTTTTTCTCCAAAATACATGTAAGACATTTAAGATAAATGACTATAATTTTTGTATAATCAAATGTAAAAACAATAATAATGGCATAAACGCATGTTAGATATTATTGTCATTATTGTCTTTGAAGTGGAATTTTCTAATCTTATAATAAAAACTGGTTTAAAATCAATATCAGTGTTAACTTATAATTCTGGAAAGACCTCATATCAATATTTATCCACATTTCTTGCAATTTTGCATTAAAATCATCTTTTAGTTTCTGAACTGGGAAATGTTAATTTTTTCTATCATAGATTTGACAAATTTACCTTGTCAGTTTTAATTAACACATTTAAAAAATAATATATTTTAAAGAATTTTTTTAAATACATGATTATAAAACTTTTGCAACTTCCTTTTCACTTTAATGCAGATCTGTTGTTTTTTTTTAATAAAATACTAATACATTGTACCATACATGAGCAGAAAACAGTTACAGAAGATTGAAGTGTCAAAAGTCATGCTGTGTATTGGTGTTTTAATATAGTACCCTGCTGATAAGAGCGCCCCTAAGGGTAAATAACAAAAGGTAGATGATAAATATAAGAGTAGACAATGTAAATTCTGTATTCTCTGGATGTTGGTGCAAATAAATTTCATTACAAGTAGAACAAAAAAGAAAACTGAAATATTTTTGTATTTTATAATAAACTCATAAAAATAATCATATTGCATAATTATGTTACAATGCATGAAAAAAAAAAGAAAAAAGATTGGTGTCGTCTCAAAAAATGGAATTGAAAGATTTTCTAATCTTTTTGTTAATATCCACATGGAGCTAAATATAAGATATATTTGTGATATCCATGTCAGTTAAAGTATACTAGTGTCCAACAGGTACATATCAACATATCATGCAATACATACTTAATCCACAAAATATCAATACTTAATATACCACCATTAAATATATAAATATTTATTTGTAAAATAACATATATCATTTCTATAAATCTTAGGAAAATCTCAGTTTGAGAAGGTAAGAGAGATTATAAATGAGATAAAATTGATAAATTGGTATAATTTGCCCCCCCCCCCCCAAAAAAAAAAAAAAAAACAAAAAACAAAAAAACTTGATTGCATTTCAGTGTTTCATATTTCATTACCAGATTATAATAAAATATTTAATGCCAATTAATTTTGTTTATTTATGCACTTATCAACATTAAAGTTATAATTATTTATATTTACTTATTTTAACAATTAAATTAATGACTTTGAAAAATTATTGTTCTAATATTTTACGCCATATTTTACAAAATCCAATATTCACAACTTAAAATTTATTATGAAAAACTATTATACATATATCAATATTTATCTATCTTTTTGTAAAAGTCATTGAAATAAAAGGTAACTGCTTTATACATATAATAGGTCTGGTGCACTACAAAGTGCACTAATGAAGTGCACTAGTAGTGCACTACTAGTGCACTTTGAAGTGCACTAGTAGTGCACATCTAGTGCACTCCAAGTGCACTTTGTGTAACCTTTAGTGTGAACTCAACTGTAATCGACATGTCTTTGCTACAATATTTAAAGTATTTTCTGAATTTTATTATTCTAACTTTTGTTGTCTGAGTTAAGTACCACGGAAATATGAGGCACCAGTTCAATAGGTTTGAAATTTACCAGTTTTCTGTGGTCCTATGACCAGTAATTTAGGGAACTTATCACATGTTTTGTTTGGGGACCAAATCTCCAGATGTTTATCATGATCACATGGATTCTGAAACAAAAAAATTATATATTTTTTAATAATCGATGAATAGCATGTGGACTGGACAGAATGCTTATGAAAACTTTCATCTGCCTTTTCACTAAAAAGTATGCTTTATCAACAATTAGAGAATAAGCAGTTGTAACAATGGTCCTGTGTTAACAGTATAGAAGGCAAGCAAGCACTCATACCTTGCACTATGACCAGACTTATTCTGTTTATGACTTATTTCAGTATTTTTATACTGTCAATGAATTTAACAAATAAATGTAGAATATTTTTATTCTGTTTTATTGAAACAGATGGCTTTCAATGATGGGAAATCTAAATATAACAAGAGCTGTCGGTAGGACAGCAACGCTCGACTATTCTTGTGCTTGATAGTAAAAAAAATGCTTGATACAGTTACCTCCTCCTGTTTACAGGTTGGGGTCATGATGGTGAACAAGTGTGCAAAGTTTCAAAGCCATATGTCAATGGACTTTGAAAATATTTGAACTATTACAAAAACTTTAACGTAAATTCTAAGTTGAAAAAGGGGCATAATTCTGTCAAAATGCTTGATAGAGTTACCTCCTACTGTTTACAGATTGGGGTCATGATGTTGAACAAGTGTGCAAAGTTTCAAAGCCATATGTCAACGGACTTTGAAAATATTTGAACTATTACAAAAACTTTAACGTAAATTCTAAGTCGAAAAAGGGGCATAGTTCTGTCAAAATGCTTGATAGAGTTACCTCCTCCTGTCTACAGGTTGGGGTCATGATGGTAAACAAGTGTGCAAAGTTTCAAAGCCATATGTCAATTGACTTTGAAAATATTTGAACTATTACAAAAACTTTAACGTAAATTCTAAGTCGAAAAAGGGGCATAATTCTGTCAAAATGCTTGATAGAGTTACCTCCTCCTGTCTACAGATTGGGGTCATGATGGTGAACAAGTGTGCAAAGTTTCAAAGCCATATGTCTATGGACTTTGAAAATATTTGAACTATTACAAAAACTTTAACGTAAATTCTAAGTCGAAAAAGGGGCATAATTCTGTCAAAATGCTTGATAGAGTTACCTTCTCCTGTCTACAGGTTGGGGTCATGATGGTGAACAAGTGTGCAAAGTTTCAAAGCCATATGTCTATGGACTTTGAAAATATTTGAACTATTACAAAAACTTTAACGTAAATTCTAAGTCGAAAAAGGGGCATAATTCTGTCAAAATGCTTGATAGTTACCTCCTCCTGTCTACAGGTTGGGGTCATGATGGTGAACAAGTGTGCAAAGTTTCAAAGCCATATGTCAATGGACTTTGAAAATATTTGAACTATTACAAAAACTTTAACGTAAATTCTAAGTCGAAAAAGGGGCATAATTCTGTCAAAATGCTTGATAGAGTTACCTTCTCCTGTCTACAGGTTGGGGTCATGATGGTGAACAAGTGTGCAAAGTTTCAAAGCCATATGTCAATGGACTTTGAAAATATTTGAACTATTACAAAAACTTTAACGTAAATTCTAAGTCGAAAAAGGGGCATAATTCTGTCAAAATGCTTGATAGAGTTACCTTCTCCTGTCTACAGGTTGGGGTCATGATGGTGAACAAGTGTGCAAAGTTTCAAAGCCATATGTCAATGGACTTTGAAAATATTTGAACTATTACAAAAACTTTAACATAAGTGGTTACGCCGACGCCGACGCTCGGGTGACTGCAATAGCTCTACTTATTCTTATCGAATAGTCGAGCTAAAAATTAATGTGCACAATCCTATATGATTAAATGAAGTTTGAACATTACAAAATTGTGTAAAAATAGAAAAAAAAAAACCCCCAACAATAAACAGCAATAGTTCCACTGACATATAGCTGTAACACAAAAAAATATCAAACAAATCAAACCCACCTTCCACACAGGGTCTTGCTCCTCAGGAAACATGTCAAAATATTTTATAGCATGATCCATGGGAGACTTCTGTATCAGCTTAAGGTTAGTCCAACACTGTACAAACTTTATAACACTCTCAAAAGTGTACAGTGCCAAGCGATCATTGCCATAATTAGACAAGTGTGTCATAAATATATTCAGCTGAAACAAGAAAATGAGGAGATTTAAATCATTTGAAAATAAATTACTGAGAGTTACAAAATGAAAGACACATAATGCATCATTTTAGGCAGAAGTGGGCATATGGGTATAAAAAAAGAGTGGGTGAAAAAGGTGTTAAAAGGCGTGTACATCTGGTAATGGGTTAAGGTAATCAGATTTCTTTACTTCTCTCTAGCAGTTAACTGAAACAAAAGAACAATAATACATACTGGATTGTACAGGAAGGCCTTGAAGAGTTCTCCCCCATAGATACTCTTCTCCAGTCTGGCTGGACCACCTGGGTATGAGTTAAGAAATATGGTATGTGTGAACAGTCCACAAGTCTGCCTGGGTAATACCTGAAATCAAATAATCAACTAAAATTAAAATTCTGATCAGTTTTAACATTTGTTATTCTGTAATTATGACTTTTTTTTTACTCAAAGTATTGATTTGTATAAAAAATGTCTCTATCTATATTTTTAGGTAAATACATAATGTAGATGTAAGCACAACAATTTTTTTCAAACAGATGATCATGCCCTACAATATTAACTCTTCTTAAAGGATGTTAAGTGAGCCAGTGTCATCAACCCAAGTCAAGGACTATTTCCCCATCTTAATATATATGGTTCTCCGTACATTGAAAATATCCTTCAATAATTAATGTTATATTTTCAGGTGCAGACCTCCAGATCTTAGCTTACCATTATTCCACTATGTACAAATCCTCTCCTACCCCAGCTAGGGTGTAGTTTAGGGTATTCTTCAGTACTGGTGACCCTTATATCCCAAACTGACTTCCACGAGTTATACAAAGATTCATGAACTGGGAACACCCCTGAATGATGTGGGGCTACTGCATACTGATGAACCACTGGTATCTTATAGTCCTGTAAAAAAAAATTAATTATCAAATTAAAAGAAAATTCATTATAAAAAATTACTTGGAAAAAATAATTACATGTACATTGTAATTCAATTTTTGAAGATCCATACCTAGAAAAAGGCACATGTAAACTTTTAGAGAAGAGGAGAAGTTAAAAGTGTTTTCCCATACAAGTCTATGCAAACAAAGTGAAAACCAGGGTCAGGTGCCAATTTTCACCAAAAAATTGTAATTTAAGGTGATGCTACATGCCAAATATCTAAGCTCTTGCCAAAAATGATTTCTGAAGATTTACTTTTTTATCTGTATCTATCTTTTATGAAACAGACTGGAAACATAGTTTTTGTACATGTAGATGGTCACCTATGAATCAATCCTGTGAAGTTTGGTTAAACTCTACCAGTGGATAAGTAGGAGATGTTGTATAAATAAATTGTGGGACAACAACACATAAAAGACATGGGGCATCATGCTTTCATAACAGATTACACATGTACCTCTGAACTCAAGTTAAATACAACAATTAAGATATTGGAGCCTGTATGTACATTATTTCAATTAAGGTAAAACTTTTAACAGATTACAACATACCTTTGCAAACTGGTAATTAAGGGCCATATTTTTAAGAAGTTCATCTTCTGTGAATTTATGAGGCTGCTCATGTCTCCACATATGAGGGAACCAGTTAAAATGATTCCTATATTCTAGAAGATAGAAAAGAATTTTTATACTTTTAAAAATAAGACAAAAGATAAATAATAAATTGCAAATAATATTAAATACAAATTTCAAGGTACTAATGCTTGAAAAGAAACCCAACAGAAGCAAGGTGTTCACTAGCCATGAAATCCTGAGGGTCATTTTGACTAAGTTTTACTGACTACAAGGTCAAATCCAAATGATTTTAACAAAATTTGACCCTCCAGTTAAAATCCTGAGGGTCAAATCAGGCCTTTTTAGAAATTTGAAGGGTCAAAGAGTCATTTCAAAGGTCAAACAGACACTCTGAAAAGTGATATAAAAATTAAAAGGTGAAAATATTACGATTGGTTTACTTGTGTAATTGAGGCCATGAAAAATAATTCCATCATGATATAAAACAAAATTTTAGAAAAGTAGGTTTATGTCTATTATAAAACACAGATGCCTTGACAGTCTCTTATTATGTCTATGGATGGACATTTGGACAGCTTGCCAGCAGGGTAGATATACAATGGCAACTACTTCCTTAAATTGTGGGGAGCATACAATTTCATTTAAGTAAATGTTCAACACATTCTTGATGTTAAGTGAAACATAAAATTTGACAAACATTACTTATTAAACATTGTTAAAGGGACTACACTGAGGGTTTTTGACATGGCTGCACTGGAAATAATTTCTACGACATTAAATGATTAATGTTCCATTTGATGTAGTTAAAATAGTGCAAAATTTCAAACCATTTACTCACTTCATTACTCCATTTTTCAAGAATAATTATTTAGGTTTTATTACATGCTTTTCGGTGGTTTATAGAAATATATCAGTGATGTAAAACTGGTAATTTCACTGTTTTGAATTTAAGCCCCTTACGTTGTTTCAGTGAAATACCAGCTTGCACAGAACTGGGTATCAACATAACGTATTAGCACCCTAATGCATTACCTCCGCTTTGAAGAGTATTCAAATAGGCTAGAATTACTGTTAACTACATTGAAAATGAGGGCCATGGGTTCAATCCCCAGAAGGGTCAACTTTTTTTTCTTTCTTTTTTTCTTTTTACATTATTTATGTATCTCTCATGTCCCATATGGAAAGAAAAAAGTGTTTAATTTTGAATTTTTAATTTATATAGGTATTTATTGGCTAAATTATGCTTAATCTAGTAATAAATATGGTACCTGATATTTTAAAAGTGTAATATAATCAAAACTAGACGGTAAAAGTACTTCATATTTAACAAGATCAACTAATATACTTTTCTAAAAATTTAGGGAAACTTTGAAAACAGGCACTCATTTGGGTAAATTTTAAGAATTTTTTTAATTAGGCTCCCTAAGTACAAAAATGGTCAGACATGTGGTAAAAATGGGTGGGGTAGGGTAACATTTTTGTACAGATTTCATAAATTTTAAGTAGAAACCATAATTTTGCTTATGTGGATTGTTAGCTGAATGGTAGTACTATTTGTTTCTTACCAAAAATTCATGGGATAACATTTTTCATTAGAATGTTATTGCAGATTATGTAAAGGTTCCTCATTTCTAAAAAAAGGGCCCTCATAACATCCTAGCTTGAGTTCAGAAAAGTGGCCATAACTTGATTTCCGTACGGTAAACTTTGTTAAAATTTTGCATACAGGTGTACTTTAAGGTATACATCTGACCTATGATGTCAATTCTTTAGTTCCTGATAGTGCCCATTAGGGTCCTAATACCTTAATGACGTGACGCCGTAAATGACGTCACGTTGTATTATTATTTGGCGCACTTTTCATTCAGTATTAGGTTTAATGTCTTTTAAAACATTTCTTTGCATATAATAAAAATAAAATTTGTTTGGTTTAGTGTAAGATCGAAGTATATTTCACCTTGTGAACACCAAAAGTTCATATTTCACTCGTGGCGAATACCTTTTGGTGCTCACTCGGTGAAATATATTCCGATCTTACACTGAACTAAACAAATATCCTCTATGTAAATATGGCCCAAATTGAGGCAAAGTATAACACAAAAATACAACTTTCAATTTATTTCTGAGTATATTTCTTAACGATTTTTTGCATATTGTTCAAGTGCCTCAGCTGATCTATAATATCAGAAATTCAAATTTAATGCTTTTAGGTTTTTTGACCTCAGTGGAGTTCCTTTATGGCTTTATAGCACCGAAATGGAAATGCAATTTATATTGTAACGTCTTGTCAGAAATTCTTGCTTATTTATTACTATCACACAGCCTATGCCCTTCCTTCCACTGCCAGTCGACACTTTAAACACTTAAATGCAGTTGCCTGGTTAGAAACCGACTTGAAATTTACTTGCTTTACTAAGTGTGTATAACAGGAAGTTACGGAAATTATTCTGCTTGAATTTATTTTTTTCCCTGAAACCAGTTATCAACTGATGGTCATAATGAAGAATTATTTGCTTTGCTACCAATTCAGACACCCCCAAGACCATAAATATGTTGCCCCAACACTATTTGAGCCGCACCATGACAAAATCAACATAATGTGTTTGCGGCCAGCCTGGATCCAGACCAGCTTGAGCATCCGCACAGTCTGATCAGGATCCATGCTGTTCACTTACCACCCCTATACTACGTAGAGAAACTGATAGAGAACAGCATGGATCCTGATCAGACTGCAAGGATGCGCAGGCTGGTCTGGATCCATGCTGGTCGCAAACGCACTTTGTTAATTTTGTCGTGACGCAGCTCATTTTTAGATATGCCTCATCCCATCAGGCTTCTCCTGTATAGTGAGTCAGTAAGTATAATTATATTAAATAAGCAATTACAAATTCACCAGCACACGTATACGTAATTATGTAAAATTTGACAAAAGTAAAATAAGTAAACAACAAACAATGAAATCACATATGAAAAATTTCACTGAAATTTTTAGATAGATATTGTATAATGAAATAAATAGCCTTTAAAAATTATTTTTCAAAACTTAAAAATAAAAAAAAAAATTAAACTTTAAAATTGTTTTGATTAGATAAACTCACTCCTGAGAAGTTTTAAAAAAATTAAATCTATGTAACAAACTTATACATGAATGTGAACCATCATTACCCGTCCCTAGATTTGCCACTACTTGCCAGCTATTTCCACTGAAAAGGGTGGCATTAAGTGTAAAAAGGGTGAAATTAACTGGAAAATGACAAAATTCCACTCTTTTTCCACTGTTGTGGCAAAATTACCACCAAACGCCACTATCCTTTGGTGGCATTTAGGTGGCATTGAGTGGAAATTTGAACATAGAATTTTTTCATGGTGGCAAAAAGGTGGAAATTGGTGAAAAATGAAACTTAGTTTATTTTGAAGGTGGAAAATGAGTGGCTTTTAGTGGAAAAGTGAAACTCTAACTGTTTTCTGGGTGGCAAATTAGTGGAAAAAAACTTAGAAAATTTTGTGAATAACTTTTAGTCGAAAAGGGAAAGGGAAAACTGAGAAATGATTGTGCATTGCAGGGTTTAAAAGATTTATTTAAGTTAAAGTTCCAAACTGAAATAAATCTGTTTCTAGGTTTTATCAAAGCATCAAGTGAACTTTTTATCAAAAATAGAATAAATTAAAGTTGAACAGTTTGAAACTCGTATTTCTTAAAAATCTTTTATATGCAATACTAGAATGCCATGAACACAATTCTGATACAAAATCACTGCCCATAATGGTATGATAATTCCAGCTGTAAAGTAGCAGGAAAAGACACTGAAATTGGACGTAAAATCACTTTTCCAGGCGTAAAACACACATAATTAATTAAGAGCAAGAAAAATTAGAAAAGTATGGGGTTACTTTATTTTCCATTTTTTCTTTCTTTTTTTCAGTACTTTTCTTTAGGGATGTAAAGTTTGACTTAAAGTCAAAAATGCCTATGTTCCATTCTATGCTTGTAAAATAAAATTACGGCTGTAAAAGTGTACTTAGCTTTTTTAGTTGCAATCTGTACATTAAATAGTTGAAATGTTCTTCAATGACCAGAAAATGCATTTTTCTGCATAAAGTTTGTTGTTAAAATCTGCTATGATATTTAATGTCAATCTTGAATAAAGTTTGACTTTGGTCTTTTCTTCTAATTAAGATTGGTCTCTTTAATATTATTTTAAACTGATATCTGGTGAGTTAACTTACACTTTTCATGTAATGCTTACACTAATTAAAGTGAAAAATGCAAAGGGCAATAACTCCAAAAGTATGCAAAGGAGTTATGGTTCTTAAACACACATGACAGCACATGACTCACAAAGATCTATATCTGTGAAGTTTCAAATTAATATCTCCAATACTTTTTAAGCTTGTAACTTTTAATTCAGAACAAAAATTAAGCATGGAGAAGTACAAAATGGCAATAAACCCCAAATCATGCAATAAAGAGTTATGGTTCCTAGGCCTTGTACTTCTCATCAATGAGATTTAGTTATATGTGGAGTTTAAAATTATTGTATCAAACATTTTTTGTACTATGCTTTGCAGATTAAAACTTACAAAGGGCAATAACTCCATAACTTTGCAGGAGAGAGTTATGTATTATAAGAAGAAAAAAAACATGAATCAAACTTGTTAAAAATAATATTTAAATGCTATTTAATAAATATACATAAAAATAGGTCAGCCTTCAAGATAATGAAGCACTGTGCTTGCTTATTATACATACACAATATAGTATGCCTTTCAGAGGCTTTAAATCTATTGTAAAAATAATTGTGTGAAAAGTAAATGGCTAATAATTCCTGATAATTTCTTATAATCAGGATAAGTAAAAATTTAATACTAGCTAGTAAATACTGCATCCTCTAAGATTTAACAACAAGGCATACAACACAGATCTGATAAAACTACTGCCCTCTTATCTAGTAATCTCTGCATGGGGGTTAATAGTTTACTCAAGCTGACCAGACTGTTCCATTTGATTATTTTGGGAGAGGCAACATTATACATGTTATATGTAGAATCTGTGTTAAAATAGCATGCTAAATTATCTTTCAAAAACTTATTTCTACTCAATCTATTTCGGTATTAGACATAGTTTATACATTCAAATGAATGTAAAAATAAAATGATGGGTGCTATGGTTTTTGAATAATCCCTCACAGTTTAAAATTATAATGGAACTTTCCAGTTGTACGGTTGTAAAGTTTGAATTCAAAGGAATTGAGGTCAGTTAAAGCTTGCAAACACAAAGGAAATGATTGGTATTGTAGCAATTCTGGAGATATTATTTTGTTAAAAATGTATGGGTGCATATTTTTGATTTCTCAAAGAATACATTAAAAGTCTTATTAGTGTGGCAAATAGAAATGAGAAGTTTTAACTGAAGTGTGAATGTGTAGATTATAACATTAGACAAGAAGATAAACAGCAGAATCATTCCAAGTCAAAGTTTCAGGTAAGCAACTTTTACATATAACAATTATTATTATTTTTGCAGAAACTATTAAGTTTTTTAACAGTAAAAATATGAAGTGGTATTGTATAAAATTATGTTTTAAATTTGTTATGTTTGTAACTTGACTAAAAAAAGAAAGCTGAATTTACATATAAAGAATGTAGGAATGCAAAGAATGTAGGAAGAGCTTCATGACATTTCATAAATACAGTATGTTTGTGAAAATAATTATAGAAATTTATCAGTAAGTACAATATCATTAATATGTACAATTTATCATCAATCAAACTATAGATAACCAGGTACCTATTACTACAACTTTCATGCTAAATGTATAAACATATTTCCTTGTGTGTCACATGTGAAGCAGATCAACAGTAACTGTTTTAATAGTAAGCTTCATTCCTTCATTGTTGTAATTCAGCTTTCATAGTGCAGTAGATATATAATCATAACTAGACAGTCTAGAGTAACAAGCTGTTAGGAGAATGACAGTTCATAACAGAAACAGCATTAAATAAGAATTATTCTTTTGCAGACACAAAGCAATGAGGAGCAGCCTGGAGCAACACACTTGTTCTTCAGTGGCTTTACAAAGGTATCTTGTTAATTTAAAGTTATTTTAGAATTGATAGGAAAGAAGTGTCACAGTACCCAATAAGACACTTTTCAGTTCTTCATAAATATAGCTATTATGCACTATTTACAAACCTACTTTTATTCAAACTCTTTATGACACTTTAATTTGCATTTACATTTAGTTTTACAAATTTTAGAGTTTTTGTACACCTAAGTTTGAAAATTTTGTCAAATATTTAACCTGCACTGATGTTGACATGTTGTATTTCTTAATTTCTTTCTTATTTTAAAATTTTGGAGTTGTATACATATACCATGTTTCATTTTCTGTCTCTACTTATTGGATATTGATAATTATATTTTAGGACCAAGTGATGGCAGAACTGAGGCACTATGCCTCACATGAGAAAGGTACAACAAGGCTCTTCAGAATGCTATTCAATATAGGGGAGATTAAAGGCGGCTCATTGTTTGGTATGAGAAAATGGAACAGAGAGTCTGACGCCAGACCTGCTTGTGCAGACAAGGCAAAACTTAAGTTCTTGAAAGGTAACTAATGAACTGAATGAAAATATCATTTTTGATTCTGCGTATTTTTTCTGCCTTGGAGTATTAATAAATAAGAAAAGTTTGATTCTTCCATGTCTGCAATGCTGTTTTGTTAAGGTTTTAATCATATCTATGCACTTGAATATAGAAATATCCAATAGTCATGTTAAAAAATTAATGTAAGCTAATGTTTTTAATTATTGTATTAATTATTTATAATATTTTTTGTTTTAGATTGTGCGCTAGAAAAGTGGCTGACAACCCAAAGGACTGAAATCCATAGGGTGATTCTGCAGCTCCTCAAACCATCTAGGAATAACAAGATAAACTGAAGAAAATAATTGGACTAATGTTTTGCTACTTTTTGAGATAATAATTTTATATGGAGACATAAAAAATGATTATTTGCAAAATTTGTTTGTTTCTCTTTTTGGGTACAGGGTGACTTTTAATCAGTTTCCAGCTATTTTCCACCAACAAGGTGGAAACTTTCTGAAAGGGTGAAAATAGGTGGCATTTAGTGGAAACTGAATTTGCCACTTTGTGGTGGAAAAATGGTGGAAAAGTGTCTAAATATTCCACCAACTTTCTATCATAATGGTGGCAAAATGTGGAAATAAGTGGCATTTGGTGGAAAATGAGTTTGCCACTCAATGGTGGCATAATGGTGGAAATTCGTCTAAATACTCCACCATCTTTCCACCATGATGGTGGCAATTAGTGGAAACAAGTGGCATGTAGTGGAAAATGAGTTTGCCACCCTAAGGTGGCATAATGGTGAAAGTTTGTCTAAATACTCCACCAACTTTCCACTCATTGGTGGCATTAAGTGTAAAAAAGGTGGAATTAACTGGAAAATTATATACCATCAGTCCTGCTCAAATTTTTCACCATTTTCATGATTTGGGTGGCGTTTTGGTGGCATTTTGGTGGCATTATTGGTGGAAAATTGTCTAAATACTCCACCATTGAAAAGGGTGGCATTTAAGTGGCAAATCTAGAGACGGGTAAGTGGTATACTTAGCTAATTTCCGGACATTAAGTACTTACTGAGAAGTGTTTCATCACCAATATTTTCTTCCTCTGTACCATGTTGATAATACCAGCCAGAGAATCCTAGCATGAACCGGAAACCATCCACTTCTTGTTTAAGCCTTTCCTGGGCCTCGTACAATGCCTGTCAAAACATTAAAAATTTTTGCTTTCATTTCGTGAATAAGTATCAAATTCAAACATATAAAAACCTATTGTCAAGCTATAAAATGACATGCGAATGCCTTTTATTGACATTTATGTATTTATTACAAGTACATGTAAAAAAGGATAAGAAATGTCAAAATTTCAATCTTACACAATTATTAATGTATCTACTCCTGGAAAAATCAATTTATGCTGATGTTGCTTTAGCTAGAAGAAATTATGAAATCTTGAGATCTATTCTGTACTCACCACCACATCATGGGCTTTCATCCTTGTTCCCTTAGCTCCAACAAAAATATCATCAATATCAATCTGTATAAGGCGCTCTAGTCCAAGACTCAACTTCCCATGGGACAAGAAAGAAATACTATCCAGCAGTAGTAAAGAATGCAACCAGAACGAAAAATTGTGACCGAAGAATACTCGTCTAATTCCATCATTTTTCCCTGTATCAAGAATAGCTGGAAATACTGTTTTATTTTTGATAACAGTTAGAGGATCATAATCATCGTACAGGGATGCTGTCTGTGTAGCGAACGCTAATGGTTCAAATGTTGAATGATTCGGATAAAACACTGCCCAGTCCTCTTCTGGAAATGTTTCTTTTATTACCTCCCCTGGTTTCGTTATTCTCCACACATCAGAAGCTGTATTTAAAGAATAATCTTTTAAAGCTATATTGTATTGCACTGAAAATGAAAAATCCTGCACATTCTCCATTAGAACCTCCAATTCGCCTCTAGGTTTCATAAAGAATATCACACCCACATTATATTCTTGGCAGTATTTGTCAATCAATTGTCGATTCCACGAGTCCAATGACAAATACAGTGCCATTGTCTCAAATACAATCACACCAAATCTACCTTTACCCATATGAATTAAGGTTGGTAAATTTTTCTCATCGTCAACGATTTTATACGGGAATCTTGAGAATTCCATAGAAGCTGCAATATTTTTGGCATTCCTCGAGAATGGAGAATCCACCATTATAAGCACCTTTCGTCCGATTCTGAGGTTTCCCTGAGTATCATGATTGTTTGGACCTCTTTCATGTTTGGGTTTGTTCATTAAATTACATGTTGTAATAGGTGTGGGTGGTGAGGAGTACTGACGTCTCTTTGATTCTGTTGTCCAGTGACCATGGCGATAACTCATGAATAATAACGATATTAATATCAATAAGGTTATTATAAAAATGACTCTAGTAAGAGAACATCTTCTCTGACAAAGAAGCCGATGACACCACTTCCACAACTGGTCCAATGGAAATAGATGCTTGAGATACATGATTTTACTCCTTCCGCCCTCAAATCTTTTATGAAAATATAAACCTACTGTAGTTATCTGTAACCGCTACCATCTCATTCATTTGTGAAACACTTTGCTTTATAACTCACATACATGTTTCTCAATCACATTCTCTATACTAACCTTTACAAGTAACTATTTGTGGAGGAAATTATCTGAAATGTACAAATTACATTCTATGGTATATATACATAATTAGCAATTACTAAATTAAATGCTAA